GCTCCAGTGATTCATTCCTCCCACAAGTCCCCACCTCCTATTGTGAGACTTTTAAGGAATATTTTAGATCTAAACCATAACAGGTTTATGATAGCTGGGAGACCTACATGAACACATAGAGAAACCAAACCCACTCACTTTAGGTTTGTCTACAAACACCAGCTGAAAGGCACTTCCAGGTCTCTCCAGGAAGTCACCTGAGCCTGTCACCTAGGCTTAGTGCTCTGCTAGGTAACGTCAAGAAGTCAGAAAGGGCCTGGATTCAATGTCTTATGCCTCTTAAGTGCAACTGTTTCTTGTTGCTCTCATTGTTGAAAAAGTCAGAAAAATGCTGTCCATTTCCAGGTTCATTTTGGTTTATGGTCTCAGAAGCCTCAGTCCATTGTTGGCTGTCTTCAAGGCTGAAACATTAGGGCAGAAGGGCATAGTGTAAAAAAGCTGCTCACCTCTTGGCAGCCAGAAAGCAGAGGGATGGGCAAAGAGCCGTAGAAAAGATGTACCCTTCTAAATCACGCCCCCAGTGACCTACTTCCTCCAAAAGGACTCTACCTCCTAATAGCCCTTTCAGCTGTGAGTTCACCCATGGGTTGATTGGAGAGGGGAGTGCCCGCATGGTCCAGTCACCTCTCCAGGTCCTAGATCCGAACACTGCCACCTTGAGGATCAATCCCTCAATACACAAGTCTTTGATGAGACACTTTATATTTAAACCATAGCATAATCTTTCATCATGGACTTTTCTGTTAAGTCAGATTGAGGTCAGAAGAGCAATAGACAGATCTCCTCATTTCTTGCCCCTAGTAATCTTTTTGTCATCCTTATCCTCTTGCTCCCAACACTCATACTTGCTCAAGTCCCTGGGATCTGCTTTTAGCCTCTGTAGAACTGGAAAAGATTTGAAAGAAACCAGTCCTTCTCAGGCCGCCACTAGAGTAATGCTACTAGACAAACACTGCTTTCTTTTGCTAATTCTAGCATAGTGTAACATACAGAATCATCACTAGAGTCCCTTTTCTCTTCTATGTCCTTCTCTTTGCCTGGTGTGGACCAGTTCCTCGAAAACCAAGTGGAGAGCATCCATTCAGGAAGGTATACATTGAGGAAATTAAAAAAGTAGGAAAATTGCACATACTGAAATGGACATTCTGTAATGCTTCTTAATTTGTCAGGTATAATACCTTGTATGCTACCTGTGCTTTAGGAGTGAGTTCTAGTAGACCTGGTATTAGCTTGAGTCATTTTGCTACAGTTCCTGTACTACACTAACCCCTGGCCAAAGCATGCAGCATGCTGATTAGTAACACTTTGTAACCATGGGTCCTTAGAGCTTCTGCCTGGAAAGGCAGAAGCATTATTGTACCAGCTTGGAAGCATTGTTATTATTGGTGACAGTGCGATTGATGGTTTGCTCTGGTCTCAGCGAGGACCTCAGAGGGCTCTGCTGTTGAGTTCAGTTATGTAGCAAAAGAGAAAAAGAATCCAGCAGAGACTCCATTTGGGGCTCCATGGCTCCATGGTAATTGCTATGATTTGACTGTGTCCCCCAAAGGCCAGAACTTGAAAACTTAGTCCCCACTGCACCAGGATAGAGACGTGGGACTTTAAGGGGTGATCTGGTGGTGAGGGCTCTGCCCTCAATGCCATTGCAGGTGTGGATCTCTTACCATGTGGGGGAGCTGGTTTTCAAAGCAAGTTCTTTCTGCCATGGGGTGACGAAGCAGGAGGCCTCCCAGGTACTGTCTGTCCGTGACTTCTAAGTAAACTTCTACTCTTACAGATTATCCACTCTGAGGTGTTCTGTTACTGCAAAATGGACTAAGAGTGTTTGTCCATCCACCCCTGGTCCTTAACCTAAGAGAGTGCATCCTGCTGTGGCCCTTAGAGGAAATGGGACAACAGGAGCTGGCTGTGTCCTCTCCCCATCTCTTGCTATAAAGCAGCCTTGAACTGTAATGCATGAGGAGCCTTTAATGTTCTTGCCATACTGTATCTTTTTTCTGCAATAAAATTGTAGATCTGCAGGCAGTTGCCACTCGGGTCCTATGAATTTTCGTTAGTGGTAGGACCCTGTTTAACAGCCTCTCCCAGTAGCCCTGCAGTCCCAAGAGACAGCTGATAAGGGAGCCCAGGAAAGGTCCAGGATTCAGTCACAGGCGCATGGCCAAGGAGCGGCACAGGGGCTCTGCTTCCAACCCCCTCGCTCTTTCCCAGTGCTCTCCTCTTTCTTTGCTGCTTGCTGGTTACTAGACAGAATGAAGGGGCATTGATGGAGTGGCATCTTGGACCAGCACCACTCTGTGTGCTGATAGCAGAGCTGTATGTTTGAGTGGCTGCATCAGGAGAAGATGATGTCACCCCACATCCTGGACCCACACTGCCACTCTTTGGGTCACAGCCTAGAGTGGTCAGCGTCATCCGTGTAATGGAAGCTGAAGAGGCTTCATGGTCTCAGCACAGGCTCCTGGGAGGAGTCTCTGAAGCTCGTTTCTGGGAAGGTGGCGATTCAAGGGGGAAAGTGAGTGCATATGCATCCAGACCTCAACCGCATGCAAGATGTTGCAGCGAGTACAGTGACTAATAAATCCTTCGAGCGCCTTTTATTTTTCAAAGTGTAAGCTTCAGGCAATTCTAATTTGACTCTTAATTAAGATGCACTTGTAAGTCAAATTTCATTAAAGCCTATTGCTTGCTCCTTGGCACTGGGACCCCCAAAGGAAGCTTCTAGAAGGTCAAACCAGGAAGGAAGGCACAGCATCTTGGGGAGAGCTGGCCCTGGCCCCACTGTCCCTCTGCCACTGTCCAGCTGGGTGCCTGGGGCACACTGAGCGAATGTGTAGTGAATGTGTTGTGCTGAACTTCTGAATGTGTTGAACTTCTCTGTGTAGTGAATGTGTTGTATAGTCTGTGAATTATATCATAGCAATTGCTCTATTTTTGGCATGTGGAACCTGTCACTTTTTATTACTGCTATTGCTATGACTACTTCTACTTTTTTAATAGCAAGGGTACCAGAGGAACTGGCATGACTTTCTTTCTGGTCAGTATCCAGAGTGTCTGCCTAAAGTTTTTAGAGTCAGATCCATGATCTTGACACATGACTTTGCCCTGGGAAGAGATGCTATGGAAGCCATTTTTTGCCCGGCTTGTGGCACCATCATTCCAGCCTCTGGTTCCACTCTTTCCTGGCCTTCAGGCTGCACAGATCTCTGTGTCCTGCCTTCTCCCAGGGGCACCAGTCTCCACTAATGATTTACCCCTGTCAAGACTATTTCCAAGCAGACTGCATTCTGAGGTTCTGGAGGGCCATGGATCTTTGGGGAACACTATTCCCCCCGCAGTAGTAACCAGCATTGTGAAAGCAGGGGAGAGTGTGGCCTCCTGCTGTTGCTGTCCTCTGTCCTGGCCAAGTTTTGCAGAGTATTGAGGGCCCTCAGAGGGGTCCTATGGTGGACTGACAACTGGCGGGCAACTTGTAACACCAAGCTGAACTGAATTAGCGTGGTGCTGGGTGTGGGAAGCCCACCTGAGGATTGTTACCTACAAAAACAAGAACTGCAAGGGAAGAAGTAGGTTGTTAGGGAGGTGTTAGAGTGCTGTTGGTTCTCCTGGAGGAGTTTGTCATGCTGGCTTTCCTGATAGAAACATGGCTGTTCTCATCACTGAAGGAGCTAGGGACTTTGCTGTTACTGAGAATGGCTACAGTTCACTTTGGGGAGCTCTGGTCCTTACTTTGAGCATCACTTCCTGGCTCCAGAGGGGAAGATGGTGCACTGTTCAGTGTCCTGGAGAAGCTTGTTGTGCTGGCTTTCCTGATAGGAACTTGGATGTTCTCATCATTGGAGGAGCTCGGGACCTCACTGTTGCTGAGGGTGGCTGTGGTACTTCAGGGGAGCTCTGGTCCTTACCTTGAGCATCACTTCCTGGCTCCCTCAGCCTGCTAGCACAGATTCTTCATCTGGCTGGTACAGACTTTCTAGCTTCCACCACTGACCTTTGGGCCTTCCCAGTGCAGATCCATGAAACAAGCCTGCATAAGACATTATTGTGAATTCTGGGCCTCCAGTTGGCCTTGTGGGGGAGCATTGTTATGGGCTCTAGGTCTTCAGATGAACTCATGCAAGACATTGCTATGGGATCCAGGCCCTCAGCTGGGTTCTCTTTGTCTTTAGTATGTGGAAAGATTTCCTGCACTCTCTTTGGATATGACTCTTTGGGTGACTATTATGAAGTAATTCTATAAATTATGTGTCCTGTATTGTTTCCTTGCAAGCCCTGACGACAGCAAGTCCCAAGGCCTTGCTGGAAGAAGCACACTTTTTCTTAAATTGTAAAATTCTCTGTGTGTAATGTAGCCTAAGGCAACTCACGTGCCCTCCTTGTCTCTCATTTTCTCTTCTCTGGAACAGGAATCAGCTAACCACCCAGGAAGTACTGATTGGCCTTGTATCTCCACATTACCCAACAACACAGCCTCCTACTGTAACAAAGAATCATCCTCAGGACTGCTAACGGATGCAGAGAGATTCCCCCGTGATTTTGGAGTTCTCCACTCATACACTCTCAATTCGCAGCTGACCTCATGAATCAACACTGCTGCAGAGCAGGAAAATACACTGTTAGAAATGACTAGGTCGTTGCAGGAGAGAGGATGTTGTTACTAGACCAGGGCCTCAAAGGGGGCATCCGTCCCTCCCTTGAGGCTTTGTGCTTCTTTTTCTTTCCCTGGCTCTTCACAAAGGCTGGGAGGAAGGAGAAGGGCAGCAGGGAGACAGGAGAAAAGCAGCAGCTTTGTTTGCTCAGTGAGAGGAACAGATTTCATGGTTGTGTGGTGGGGCTGTTTCCCTGGCTCCCAGAAGATCTCACACGTCCGTTTCCAGCACTTGGCAAGAGCATTTGTTCTTGGGGAGTGAGCAGGTCTCCTCGTTGCTAGGAACTGAAAGCACAGACCAAGCTGTTGAGTCTCGTGTTCATATCATTTTGCATCCTTTTTAAATCCACAGGAGGAAAGGCACTACACCTCGTCCACTTACCTGCCGCCAGCAGTGTGGCAGAGAATTCTCCCCCTGGGACTTTGATGCACAAGTTTTCTGTGAATTTATCCACGTCGCTGTCACCCGTGGCCCCAGGATTTCCCCTGATAATCAACTCAAATCCCCTCATTGAAGCCTTCAGGGTGAACAGGCTGTCAGGCACTAACTTTGAGGTAAGCAGCCCCTCACGGGAGATGTCTGTGAAGGGGTGTCCTGCAGACATGGTGACCAGGCTTCTAGCTCAGTGGTCCTTTCCTCCTCTTTCTCCTGTTCAACCTCCCCTTTCATACAACCCAGAAGTACTGTTTGGGGTACCCCAGCCAGAGCCCCCTGTGCTAGATCCTCCTGTAGGCTGTATTTTTATATGTTTTATTGGTACATGTTTGCAGTACATAATGATTACATTCATCATGCAGAGCTGATACATGGACAGAACACATCTTAATTCTTTCTTTGTCCCCTACTCCTCCCGCCCCTCCCTGCTCCTTCCATCTCTTCCTCCCCTTCCCACTTGAAAAAGCTCAGTCTATGTCTTAGTTACTTTCCTCATCACTGAGACCAACACCTATAAATTGAAAGAGGAGAGGTTTATTTTGGCTCACAGATTTTAAAGGCTTCAGTTCATAGTCCCCTGGCTCCAAGGCAGGGAAGTATGGCAGAGGCGCATCACAGAGGAGCAGCAGCTCCTGGTGTGGAAGCAGGAAATAGGGAGGGATCAAAGGAGGAGGGAGGGAGATAGGCTCTTCCAGGCCACGCCCCTAGTGACCACCTCCTCCCACCAGGCTGCACCTCCCAACATCACATTTAGCTATAAACTCATCATGGACCGATCCACTGATGACTATCAGCCTCCATGATCCAACCACTTCCCCAAGGCCCCGCCTAGGAGCACGTGAGGCTTTGGGGGACATCCAGATATAAACCATAAGACCCTACGTCCTATTGTCTATTTTTTATTTATTTATCCTTAGGGTTTTTCATGTAAGACAAACCATATGATTTCAGAGCCTAAGAAAACTTCAGGCCTTTCTCCACTTAATACAGTCCCTGTGAACATTCTGCTCAATTTGTCACAGATGTAAGGCTTGTTTCTTATTGCTAACCACCCAGACCTGATATCAGGTGTTAGGTGTGCTTATGTTAATCAAAGTCTCTGGGTAGGAGAGTGTGGGTATTGATTTTCTTAAAAGCCAGGCCCTGATGAACTTGTGTCTACTGATTCTGCCTTTCTATGCATCTATAATTGTTTTTAGAAGGAAATCTAAGTTTAGGCTTCATATGTAAGATTACACCCTTTAATAAAATATAAGTCAGACTGTCCATCTCTACTGTGTAAATGTTTCCGCTTGGATAATTTAGACCCAATAGCTCTCATTTCAGACCCAGGCTTTCTTTCTTTTTTTTTTTTTTTCCTCCAGTACCGGGAATCGAACTCATGACCTTGCGTTTGCCAGGCAGGTGCTGTGCCACTGAGCTAAATCCCCAGCCCTGGACCCATGCTTTCTATTTTGTCCTCTGTGTCTCCGTGTCTTTCCCACAGCTGTTACTTTCCTGTCAGGGGAACTGACCTATTTGTTGCATGTTTTTCACAGGTAACCTCAGTGGTCTTCCAAAGATGTCTTTAGAGTCCAGGTGTCTGGATTTGCCTATGCTTTGTAGTTGACACTCCTGCCTTTCCTCCTCCTCAGCTGGCCTGGCAAGCTCTTGCAATTATCTTCAGCCTGGCCATTGGTTCCTGGGGTCCTGTGGGACCCCGTGGCTTCCCTGGGGTGCACACTAGATGTTCTTAAACCCAGCTTCTGGTTGGAGTCAGGTAGGCAGCCCCTCAGAAGTATGCAGACACAGCTCCCTGGCCAAACCTATGACTGGAGGCCCGTGCCTACATGTCTAGGTTCTGATCACTTCCAGGCTGGGCCCTCTGGGATGCAAGGACATACAGGCCCTCTGTCTTCACCTCAGCATCCACTTGACATTCCCAGGGCCCAGATGCTGGTCATGTGACTCACCTGCCCTGTCTACCGACTCCTTTGACACCTGCCTTGTCTCAATAGCTGCTGCCGTCTGTCTCTACTGGCCTTGTCAGTTGTTTGCACTTACAGAGCAACATCGTGTATATGCCCGACACTGTGTAAAGTGTTTGTGTGTGTGTGCTCTTGTGGTCCTCAATACAGGCTAATGACTAGATCTGGAAAAACACCCTTTCCGCAGATCAGGACAAGAAAGCACAGAGTTTAAGAATATGTCCTAGGCTGCACGGCTAGAGGGTCACTGAGCTGAGACATGTGGGTTATTTTCACTTGAAAGCTCTCATTCTTGGCCTCTGTGGTCTACTGCTTTTCATGATGGTGATAATTTTGTTCCTTTACATTTGCATGGAAGATCCAAAGCACATTCACATTCCTGACTCTGTGATTATTATAATGCACACAAATATTACTGACATTCAGAAAGTTTAATTCGTAAGTATAAGATAACCCAAAGATAACAAAGTTGCATGATTTGTCCAAGATCATACAGCTATAAATGATGAAATAAGAACTTAACCCAGGACTTCCGGTTCCCAGTTTTGGGCTCTTTCTCTTACACTTCCATGCACATGGATGATGTCTTGGTTAATTCCCAAATCCTTCACAGGACCTCTCCATTCTAGTTGTAACCCAAATATATGGTGAATATTAAATTTTTACAATTTGTTACAGTAAAAGACACACGGCCGTGATAAGTATGCTCAACATACTTATCAAGTACTTTGAACACACAAATCCCTTTGTTCTTGGCACTTTGGAAGCAGATCGGGAAGTCTTCTCTTATGAGTGTCTCTACGAGGTATGATCAAAAATATACTAAATGCCACTGTGGAGAGCTATACAATGGAAAGGCAGGCTTGTAAATACAATAGAGTGTCTCCTTATTCATTGAATCTGGTACTGTGTGACTTTTGACTCTTCTCAAAGTAAAACTGACAGTGGAAGATAAAACTTAGAAATTATTCAGAACAACAGGGCAATCCTAACTCTAGCCCTTAACCCCAACCCTAACCCTAACCCTAACCCCAACCCTAACCCTAACCTTAGTCCTAACCCTAATCCTGTTCCTAACCTCTTGAAATGGCAAATTTCTTAGCTCCTCAACTAAACTAGGCTCAAATGTTTGGTGTATTTTCCCAGTTCTGTGCCCTCTGGCACCATGGCCTGCAGCTACTCAGGGCTGGGCATTGGTATGAGGATGGCCACAGGCTCACAAGTCGTCATGCTGCTCTTAAGATTTGATGGCCTCTTCCCACATCATCAGCCATCCCTCCAAAAAAGCCCTACTCACCCACACTGCCCACATGAGCTCTGCCTGCTGCCCTTGGAACATGGCAACACCATCTTGGGGTGGAACCTGGCTCCTCCTCTGGCAGTCTTGATCCTAAGCCTTGAGACTCAGGGAGCTCTGAATCATGGCAGAGCCAGGCCTCCCTGCTTCGGGGTGCACTGCTGAGGGTGCTGGGGTAGGGGATGTGAGGCGGAGTAATGATGATGAGGATAGCACTTCATGTTTATGGAGCATTCACCCTATGCCAGGAATTCCCATAAACATTTTGTGACTTCATTCATCTAATCTTCACAGCGATGCTATGGAGTTGCTTGCTGTTTTATTTGCATGGTAAAAGCTGGGAGATCAGGGTATAGAGAGGCTGAAAAATCTCAAGTTCACAGGGGTAGAAGGTGTGAGAGCTGAGATTTGCAGTCAGGCAAGCTGACCCCAAGGGTCCTTGTGCGTAGCCCCCACACTGTGCTGGCCAGAGCCAGTCATTCAGCTGTAGGTGGCCAATCCTGAAGCAGCACCCGTGCAGGACGGAAGACAGAGCACAGCCTGGAGAAGCCAGGGAGGGTGATAAGGGCCAAGCCCTGCAGCTGCGCAAGCAGGAGCTCTCCAAGGTCCTGTGAAGGACTGTCCCTTCCCTCTCCCCACCTTGGAGCCTGACAGCCTCTTCTTCCTGGTTATTATCCTGAGCACTATGCAACTAAAACTTTGCTCAGCCCTGCCCAGTATGACTCCAAGCTCAACAGCTCCAAACCAAAGCTTACTGTCTGCACCCACATCGAGGGTCCCCACGCCCAGCTGTGACCGATGTATCCCTTCCCTTCTCCGAGTCTTCTTATGCACCAAATGAGTGGGAGGAGTTTTACCATCCTGCGGTTGTTGTGATAATTAAATGAAATTCTCCACAGAATGCCTTGGCAAGAGGCTGGCGCATAAACATTTGATAAATGCTGCTGACAACAAAGCCAGTTTTCCCATTTGTGTTGATAGCATGATGATGCTTTTAGTTCCAAGATAGAACATTTTTAGGTCGCTTTTGGGCAGGACCAATTATTTGCCTCCTCTTGGGAGGAGGATAGAGCTATTTCCCAGGGAGAAGGGGCTGGTGATAGGTAACATTTAGGGAAAGGATCTATCCAAGCTCGGGGGTCAGAAGGCTCCAGGATTAGCAGGAAGCTAGGGTGAACTATCTCCCCTGCAGCCTACACTGGGGACAGGCATTTTTTGAACAGTTTTTGCCACCTAATTATGATAAAAGTCAACATATGCAAAGCCCTTGCTCAGTGCCAGACTGTGGATTCTTGTGGATTCGCTCATTCATTCCTCAGAACAAGCCAATAATGTAGGTGTTGTTTTTATCACCATTTTACAAGTGGGGAAACTGAGGCACAGGACCTTTATGTAGTGGGAAGGCCGAGCTTTGCAGTCAGTCGGCCTGGCTCCAGAGTCTGTCCGGGATTCCTGTATCACGCAGCTGCCTCAAGTAAGCAGCTACCAGCCTGATAGGCATCTAAGCTCCCTGTAGGCACCAGACCGCCTACCTCTTTTCTCTCTTAAGCTTCCTTTGCACCTTCTCCTTCCCCTACATGCTCTACTCACCACCGTGGCCGCTTTCCCTTCTCTTAACTAGCCTAGGTCTTGCAGAGTAAAATGCAACACCCGTCACCCACTCCAGGCAGCCCTCGCTGACTACACACAGCCCACGAGGAAGCCTTCCCCTCCCGTCTTCCACAGCTCCTGGACCCAGCTCTTTGTTATAAAACCTTGTTGAAGGTTTAACTGCAGCAAGGCTCATTTCCCTAACTATAATCACGTGGAAACAAAGTCGGAGGCAGGTGAAGGAACGTCCTCAAGGCCACACAGAAGTCCTGTGGTAGAAACAGGGCTGGGGCCAAGTGCTTGCTCCCTTGGGGCGTGGAGGGTCTTGTCACCCACTCTAAGTGGATCAGTGACCAAAAACTCTATCGGGGGTATCAAGGACATATAAGAAATCTACTTCTTGAGGTCTGCCCTAGCTTGGTGTCCATTGTTACCACAGAATACCTCACACTGGGTGATTTATGAAGAACAGGATTCATTCCTCATCCCCGTGGAGGCTGGGAAATCCCACGTCAAGGTGCTGGCGTCAGTGCACGGTGAGGGCCTCTCGCGGTGGCACACGGTGGTGTGCTGAGAGCGTGCGCAAGACAACGAGAAGGTGGGAGGCAGAGCCCCAGAGAGTCGTTCTCACAGCGAGGGCAGGAGTCCGCTCACGAGAGCGGAGCCCCCAGACCCGCCGCCCCCACCCAGTGCCGTGCTCCCAATAACACAGTGCCAACTGGATGTCAGTGTGAGATGTGCAGATTCTCAAACCACAGCAATGTCCCTGAGGGGCGTGGGCCGTCTCAAAGTGCCAGGGGCTCGGCTGGTGGCCGGATGTGGGCGTGGACATGGGAAGTGACGGGCTGGGTCCTGTAAACCCCAGTGGGAGCCTCCCACCCGGGGGGCCCAGGGGCTCCTTCCCGCCACAGCCTCGATTCTGGGGGTGTCTCCCTGGCTGTGGCTCTTGCTGTTCTTCCCACTTCTGCAAAACACAGAAAGCGGGGAATCAAAGTTCCTGACAATGGAAGAACGTGTGGAAGGCACACAAGAAACAAGCACACCGTCGTTTAAATATTTCTTGTTTATGCAGATGTGTCCTTGTCTCTCATTGATTCTTGGATGTGATCTTAGGAGAACTGGAGGCATGAGTCAAGCTATAACTTGGCAGCAATCCAGGGAGTGCACATCCTTTAATGGCAGGAAAACAGCTCTATCTAGGGGAGCTGAGGGATCATCTAGGGGCCACCCCTAACCCGCAGCGGGAGTGTTAGTCCTCGGGTTTCCACTGCGAGTCAGTCGTGCAGGATGTCTTCTGAATATTTTTCTTCCCTGTGAAAAGCAGCAGCACACACAAGGGTCCCCTTTCGGGAAGTGTCACGGGGTGATGTGGGAAGTGCTAACGCAAAACAACAGGGCCCTCCACAGTGAAAAATGGTCTCCTAACCTGCTGCTTCCTTCCTCGAATGAATCCCTTCTGTATAGTGTTTGACTACATAACGCCTTCTCTCACGCAGTTACTGAGAATTCGGCATTTCATTTTAGGTTGTCACCTTTGGGAAGCAACGACTGGATTTTGAAACGGGACCAAACGCATTTGATTTGCAGATTTATGTTAAAGATGAGGTTGGGGTCACTGACCTGCAGGTCCTGACTGTCCAGGTGACAGATGTGAATGAGCCACCGGAGTTTCAAGGCAGCTTGGCAGAGGGTAAGATACGCCAGGCTGTGCAAAGCCTTGCAGATGGGGCATTGGGAGGACCCAGGGGGATAGAGGAAAACAGGAAAGAGAAACACACACGCAGCTGTTTCCTTGGGAAAGGCAGCTGCTTTATAAGCAGGAATAAATGAAATGTCCTCCAGCGTAGCATGCCTGATAATGATGTCCAGGGGCTTACACGACCACCACATCCTCAGCTTCTTGCCGCCCCCTCCCAGGCCTATGGGGCAAACTGAGGCTCAGGGAGTCTGTGGATCATTCTGGAGGAACCTAGGCTGAGCCATCCTGGGCAGGTCACTGTGTCCTCAGCCGTCAACTCGTTCTTCTCCTGGTGAACAGAGTAGGGAGAGTAGAAGCCTCTGGCTCCTAAGGGACTTCCTGCATGATGTCCCCTCGCTCCTGGCTTTGCACACCACCCCCAAGACAGTTGTTCCAGTCCAGCTTCTCCATGAGCTCTCCACTCAAAGGTCTGGTTTTGGCCCTGTCCGCCTGGATGTCAGTGGGATTCCCGCTCCTGCTCTCACTTCACCCCACCTCACAAAGTCCCCTCCGCATGTCTTTCCTATACTTCCGGTGCCTAGGTTAGCCCTTGAGTCAGCCCTGACCCATCCTCTCTCCCACCCAACATCACATCCCCCAGGAGGATGGCAGCTTTAGACACCGATGGAATCCAGTCCCTCCCTAGCCTCCAAGCACCACTGTGCAAGCCACTGCACAGCAGGTCCTCTGGGCGATGCTGTGGTCCCAGCTTTGGTCCTTTCCTCCTGTGGGCTGTGCTGTAGACGGCAGCCAGGCAGGTCCTGGGAGGGCAGTGGTTGGACTGGGCATTTCACTGCTTAACACCCTGGAGAAATTCCCATCACCTTCCAAGCAAAGAGAGCCAGGCTCAAGGCCCTGTCCTACGTGTACCCCCGGCCCTGCCCCTACCTAGGCCCTGGTGACAGCATGCCTGGAGCGTCACCCTCAACACACTCCCTTTGCTGCGTCCTCTGCTCTTCCCTTCCTCCCCACTCCCTCTCCTGACCCCTCCCCTCTCTCCTCTGTATCCGCAGCGCTGTCCCCCATTTCTTCAGGACTCCTGATCCCCACATGGTCACCTAGTGGGCTGCCATAGCACTGATCTATTTAAAATTGCAGCACAACTCATGACACTCCTTCTTCTAATCCCCCTCTCTCTCTCTCTCTCTCTCGCTCTCTCTCTGTTAGCACTAGGGATTGAACTCAGGGCCTTCTTCACACTGAGCTACATCCCCAGCTCTTCCTATTTTTATATTTTGACACAAGGTCACACTAGGTCACTAATATCCCAGGCTGAGTTTGGGAAACTTGCCATTTCCTGCCTCAGCCTTCCAGGGTGCTGGGATTACAGATGTGCGCCAGCGTGCCTGGCTTCATCCCCTCTCTCCTTGCCCCAATACATCAGTATGAAGTCACCTTTCTATGGAGGAAGCAGATGAAGACTCGACTCTGTAGCGTTTTATTGATTCCCATAAGTGGATCTGTTGACACGCACTGGCTAATGGAGCTCCTTGTAGCCTTGACTGTTGCCTCCCTCTGTCTTACAACGTCAACACACCTGGTTCCCGTTGGTTTACACAGTAGCCCTGATGTTGGAGTTCCAAGTTTGCTCAGTCTAATAAAGCTTCTTTTTCTACTTTGGTCGAGATACAGGTTTAGACCTCTTCGTAACAGAAAGAGCAAACCCAGGATTCATTTACCAGGTTGAGGCCTTTGATCCGGAGGACACGAGACGACACACGCCCCTCAGTGTAAGTGTCCCTGGGTCCTGAGTCTCTGGCGGGCAGAGGCAGTGGCAGGGAGGGGAACGTGTTGCCTGCTCACAAAACCAGAGCACAGATGGCTGACACAGGAGCAGGGGCTGGAGGCGAACACCGGCCTGGACTCCTGGCTCTGGGTCACCTCGGACAGTCCCGGACCCCCGAGCTGAGGGCTCCTTGTGAGTCTCGCAGGAAGAGGATGAGCATTGACTACAGCAGGAGGATGTGTGCTTTAGATGACAGCACAGTGCCAGGTGTACTGCATGTGCTCCATACTTGTGAAATCTAAGCCAATACAAATTCACATACGCTATTTCATTATTACTTTGGAATTTTGAGACAGGGTCTCACTATGCAGTTCAGACTGGCCTTGAACTCACTATGTAGCCCAGGCTGGCCTCGAACTCGTAGCCTCCTTCTGCCTCAGCCTTCTGAGTGCTGGGATTACCACCATATATCACCATACCCAGTGCCCATCAATTTAAAAGTAAGCATAAACCGGGCATGGCGGTGCACACCTGTAATCCCAGCACTCGGGAGGCTGAGGCAGGAGGATCGTTATGAGTTCAAGGCCAGCCTGGGCTACAAAGTGAGCTCAGAGCCAGCCTGAACTGCATAGTGAGACCCTGTCTCAAAAAGCAAAAAAAAGAAAAAAAGAAAAACATAACATGTACACTCAAAGCCAGAACTCACATTTGCTCTTCAAGAGCTGAGGCCAAGCTGCCTGGAGCCAGGTTGTTAAAAGTGGATTTAGGACTCCCAGGAATTCTTGGGTGTTGAACAGGAGAACGGGTCCAGTTAAATCTGAGACAGTGATGTCTCTTCTGTACTTTATGAATCAGTGTCCTGTGTGGAGCTACCAGGGGGGCACTTGTAAGCAGGAACCTCGGGCTCAACCTCCCAGCTGGTTCTGGGCACAGATGCCTGGCTCCAAGCTCTGCCCACTGGGTGCCCTGCACCCACACTGCAGCCCAGGTTGGGGAGAGAAAGACGATGCGAATTCCTCTGGACTAACCTCGGAGCAGCTACACTTCTGCCCACACGCCTGACAGGACAGCCTGCCTGCACGAAATGGGGCCCTGGGGCAACTGGAGACATGGGAGGCTGCCTCTACCCTGTGCTGTGTGCCCTGTAGCCCCAATAGGACCACTTGTCTAAGAGAGGAAGGTAGCTGTGGGAATGGACCCCAGGTCGATATAGGTGGTCCTGAGCCAGAGGTGTTAGGAGACACATCTTAAAGTTAGAGAATAATATGGCTTTATTCATTCATTCATCCAAAACTGGTTCAGGTCAACATTTGCACGGAGAACCAAATGCATATGCAAATAGTGACTTAATGGATTCCCCCCTGCAACAGGAGGTGCTTGGCATGGGTCCTTACTAATAACATACTAGCTGTGTTGTAAAGATGTGTTTGCAAGAGAAAGGATGTGTTTGTAACAGAAAGCTTAATTGCAGCAGTGGATACAGCATGTTTTTCTCTTCCATGTGAGGAGCGTAAAGGCCACCAGGTGACCTGGGTGGCACAGCTGCTGTCATCAGGAGCTTGGACTCTGTTTCTGCTCCTCCCTCTAGAGCATGCGCACCTACTTTCTCCTGATTTTCTCACCTCCTGATTGCAAGATGGCTGCTGCATCTCTGGGCCTTGCCTCTGAATCCCATGCAGGAAAAACAAAAAAGAAAGCAGGACTGGGTTCAGGGGGAAGAGGTGGGAGATGAGCCTAGTCTGCTTCCCCTTCTTTTTCTAGCAGGAAGGCAAAGTCTCCTTGAAGCCCCACCCAGAGGACTTTTGCTACTTCTCACTGGCCAGAACTGTGTCTGGCGGCCACCAGTGCTTGGTGGTGACAAAGGAAAAGAGCCTCTGGCCGGGCGCTGGGTCAGGTCGCTATTACACGACTGATTAGTTCATTTCACCTTTACTGTGCGCTCGCTGCGTATGGGACGCGCTGTTAGGCGCCGTGGGCACAAAGTTGGGTAAGACTGTCATCAGCGGTTCCGGGTCTGGACAGGAGACCTTCACGTGCGTGGGGGACAGTGCCGTACCGTCGCAGGGGTCTGTGCTGTAACACCGCACAGGTTCACAGGAGGAGAGCACAGCGAATGTGTTTAACCAGTTTCGCGGGGCAGGGAGGCTTCAGGAGCGAGATGAGAGAGTGGGGGCGGCGTATCTGCGCGCTTGGCTTCCAGCGAGGGCGGAGTCGCACCGGGAGGGAACCCCGTCCCGCGTGGCCGTGCGTTCAGAGTCCCCGTGGCCTCCGGGTACCGGGCGGGGTCTCTGGGCAAGCAGGTTCTCACCACCTACTTGAGGAGATCAGGGAGCTCCTTTCAGACCTGGCTGCAGGAGGGAAAGCGGGAGAAGGTCAGAGCGACCTTCACGCCTCTGCAGGTCCCTCACTTGCCCAAGTGAAGTGGTGAGTTTGGGGTCCTGCGTTCTGAGCTCTGACTCCCTCCTTTCAAGTGCGGCTCAATTCACGGTAATCGCTGAAAAGCTTCTTACAACATGTAATGGGGGCCAAGCAGAAGGAATCTTAGTTGTGGAGACAAAAGGTTATTTTTAAATCTCCATTTTAATATATCTCCAAATTATGCAGGAGTGCCAGGCGTGTAAGGTCCTGGCCCCTTAGCAAGCCCTCCCGGGTCGCGCTGGCCGCTCCCCTTGCAGAGGAAGGGGAAGGAGTCAGCAGGAACTCCTCCCTTCGAAACCGCAGCACTGTCCACAGGCCTGAGAGCAGCCCCCGCCCCGGTGGTGGCTGGCCTGTGGCTTGCACCATCAGTCAGGGGTCCTGCATGGGCAGAGGTCACAGGGCTGCGGCGGGTTGCCTGGTGGAACACTGGACACCCGAGCTGGGGCTACAGGCTGCACGGCCAAACCCAGCACAGCGAGCCTGCAGGAGCAGCAGGCGCGATCTGGAAGGGTCCTTTAGGCCTAGAAAAACTAATAACAGCTCAGGACATAACACACGATGGCCTTTGTCCTTTGATGTTTCATTCTGGGCCCTTGAGGGCGCAAAATGACAGTTCGCTCTGTAAGAGTAGAAAGGAGATGGGTTAATTCGCTCTTGACCAAAGCTGTGCTTCCCGACCTTGGCTGTAAATGCAGTTCTCTGAGAACCTTAGAGCACTCGGTGTCTGCCCCTGGTGTGACTGGTCAGGGTGTGGCCCGGCATCGGGACCCTGAAGCCCCTGGGATGCACTGCACAGCCAGCACGCAGAGCCACCGCTTAGGATGCTACCTTCCAGAGTCCCCAAAGCCTGCCTGGGAGCTTGGAGTCTGCGGTCTGGGCCAAGTCTGGCATCTGCAGGGTGGCCAACCATGCTTGTGGTAAGAAGGCTGGGGAGGTGTCTGGGTGTCTCCGAGTGTGTGTCCAGGCCCAGGAACACACCTGGGCTGCTTTCACAAATGCAGGTTTGGGCCACTGGAGACGGTGCTCAGGTAGAGCGCATGTCTGGGTGGGGGGCGGTTCTGCCTACACCACTCTGCTGAAGAGCCCCTGAGAGAAGAGGGGAGGACAGACTTTCAAAGAGTGTGAGCACCAGCCAGAGGGGACCAGGCTGCATTTGCTCCCATCGTCCTACCTGGTGGTCTCCACAAGTTACCTCACTGGTGGCAGCAAATAGAGGGTGAAGGATGAATTTTAAAAATTGAAGCTGAGGTAGGAGGATTACAACTTTGAAGCCAGCCTGGGCAATTTAGCAAAACCCCGTGTCAAATAGTAAAACAAAATAGGCTCAGTGCGAGGCTGTGGGTTGAAGGTCCAGTACAGGAAAACAAAACAAAGCAAGACAAGAGCTGTAGGACCCATCCTGAAATCCTAATACCTTTAAATGACAACATTATAACTGTTCACCTCCATGCAATAAGACGTTGTCACAGGTGATATAAATAGGGATATATTCAGAAGCCACTAGTATTTGTTCTCTCCTTTCAAAAGAAATTTAAAAGCATGTGCTGAGCCAGATGTAGGGGCACAGGCCTATAATCTCAGCACTCAGGAGGCTGAGGCAGGAGGATTGCTGTGAATTCGAAGCCAGCCTGGGTCTCCATACTGAGTTCAAGGACAGCTTAAACTAAATAGTGAGATCCTGTCTCAAAAAGCAAGCGCTTATCCATGCTTTGGACCCATACTGTTCCATCTGGGATCAGTACTGCCCAATAAAGTCATCATATGAGCCAGAAACTGGTGCGGCAGAAGTAATTTTCAATGTTCTAGCAGCCACATTAAAAGTACATGAAAATAAGTGAAATCAGTCTTCGTATAGCTAACTCAATATACCCAGCAAATTATCATTCTAACGCATCATCAAAATAAAAATGATTAATGAGAGATGTTGCATTCCTTTTTATGTTTGCCATCTTAGAATGTGGGGTGCATTTTATAGAGACTGTCAAGATCTCCACAGTTCAAATGCTCAGGTTGCGACACCAGGCTGGTGGCCGGGACGGGGGGCTTAGATGCAGGATTTGTCCCCCTGCCCAGGCAGCGTCCACACATCTGAGAATGCAGGTGGGACAGGGGCGGGAGGGGCACAACAACACGGGCTCAAGACACACCGCAGAGAAGGGTGCTGTGTGTGTGGATGGTTGCACTTCCTCTCTGCGTGCCCCCAGCCCAGCCCCCGCAAGTTGGCTCAAGGAGAACGTCTGCCCCTCCCTCCAGCACAGCATCCTCGGAGACTGATGACCTAATCGGTGTCTCAGCTGGAGACAAAGTGACAAGAGCGCAGTGCTTCCATGAAGGGGCTCTCTGAACCCTTCCCTTAGGGAAGGGCTTTTGCCTAACGTGAAGTGTGCGTGGTCTTCCCCGGACAAAAGCACTAAATTAAAAAGAGCAGTAACCTTGCTGCTGCTGGGCTACTGGCGGGGCCACAGAGCAAATCTCTCTCCGCTTCCATCTTGGTTCTGAGATGGACAACCAGTCACATCTTTTGGTCTTCCTGAAAGTTAAGCGATTGACCTAAGAGATGTGATTGAAAAAACAGTGAATATTTAA